ACATCTGCAGTCGGTGAGCTTCTTCCGCCTTCTCTGCGTGCCTGTCTAACCATCTGTATGTCTGTCCCACTCTTTATTTCTGGAGCAATTAATAGGATGTCAAAAGGGGTGGCCTGGAATAACAAACCCACACAGTTCATTAACAATTTAAGCGAATTTTTTGTGACGGAGGTTCTAGTAAAATACCAAGACAACGAGCTCATGGCTCAATGGTTAAAGCGTAAGACTCCTGAGCAAAAGGTCGCGAGTTCGAGCCTCGGGTGGTGCACCACTTGGGCTAATGAGTCAGAAATGAACATTCCAGTCCCCCTAGTCTTTGCCGGCAATGCAAAAATACCTGTCCATTCCTCGCACCAGTCCGAAAACTGATTCGGACCCTGGCTGGGCCTCACAATGGATACAGACAGTGAGGTCGACAGCTCAGCGCACTTTCCTCACTATAAACAATGTAAAGCGATTGAAGTTATTAAGGTCCGCTAAAAACCGTGATAACTCGGACCGCGTAGTCAGCCCAGTTCGTGTTTGTGTGGAGCGCTGATTGGCGGACGGAGAGTCAGGATGCAATGGTTCCTTACTGTGGCCTCTATGACACTTCTACTTTGCGGTATCTGAGCCCGATCAGGCGGCCCGCTTAGAGGCGATTTTGGCCGCGCCAGCCGCCTGTGCCCTCCACCGTCTTCAGTATTTTCGACTTGGTCATGACACCGAACGCGGGTGAGGTAGGGCGAGAGAGAGAGAGAGAGTGCGGTAGATGTTGCACAAGTACACTTACACTATAATTTAATTCACGCGCAAGTCGCCGCGCCTGCTTTCAGCCTGCTATAAAGCGTGCGGTTGACGTCACTGAAACCGACAGTCGAACTTTCAGCAAACTACCTGGCTTGAAAGGTCATCAGCTGACGTGATACCTCGGTTCTCCCGGCGAGTATATTAAACGTTTGTAAGCCCGAGATTCTGCTTGCGATGGCCGCTCTTTAATGCAGCGTCTATGCTACTCTCCAATGTGTGAACTCCGCGCCAGGTTGTATGTGGCACGTGCAGATGGACTCTCTGCCGCCCATTGCAGCCGTGTCCATCGCCGATCGATTTAACACTGCCTTATTGAAAGGAAACAGAGTGCTGCCCTCGCACTATTAAAGCTGGTGCGCTTTAGTTGAGCAAAACGCACACTATCAGTCGTGACCGTAAATGTCGCCAATTAACTCCAAACGCTCTAATGCCTTCTTGCAATGGCGTTTTTGGCTTTCTCATCCAAATGAAATCAGAAACCTTCATAGTTGTAGCTTAGTTCGTGTGGAGTTGACACTAGGTCATGCTTGTGGGACGCGTAGACGGGCCATTATGTCAATGTTCGGAGCAAGGTGGGTAAGGGAGAAGAGAGAATGTGGGTGGTAAATGGTGCGCAAGTCTGCCGCACAATAAATAAATTGCCACCCACTCCATGTGGTGTACCAATGACTTTGGTGTTTTACACAGACATGTTCGGAAGGCTCTGCTCGACTGCTTTAATAAACAGGCGATCGGTCTAATGTAGTCCAGCGGCAGAAAGTTTCTCCCAATTCCTGTTTCTACTGGATAAATAAAGACCAGCCATTTGGAAAGTCTATTTGGCAAACATTTTCGGAACTTTATCACCAGGCCTATACAATTGCATGAATGATTAAAACAGGAGAATTGGACAGGGTTTATACATGTCTTATGATTAGAAGTCATTGTTTTCTTATCACCCATACGGCGAGATCGGCATGTTGAGGCCATTGCACTGGGGGGAAGAGGAAAATTAGGATAGGCTGTACGTAGTGGTCACGGGTCGAGTACGCGGAGTGCAAATCACTATCACTTGCACGGAGTAAAAAAATGCCACCAGAGTGTGTAGGCGACATGTTATCGTCACCTGACATCCGCATCGACCACAGAATAGTCATTTATAGTCTCGAGATTGCTCAACCACTGCTTGCCTAGATCATTCAGTACAGGCCACGTTGTTAGTGCGCCAGGCACTTATCGAAGTAAAATTTCGTTTGCCCCACTTGTGAAAAACTCGGCGGCCTCGATTGGATTTGAAACAGTCAACGCCCTAGCCAACTGAGCTACAATGCTCCCACCGGAAGGCCAAAGTTTAATCACAATCGGGTCAGATTAGCCCGCCCGGCCTACATTGCAAAACTCGTAAATAGATAAGGAATTTTCACGATTAGTCCCTGCCTTATATGTGCACAGCAAAGCATATAAGCTTTTCTAGGAAACCCTAGACCTTTGGGAGTCTCGCAGTGCCTGTTAGATTGAACACAGTGCAACTTAATAGTAATAACTTGCGTTTTCAAAGACTAGACCAGTTGGACATCGATGTCTCTTAACAACCACTCACCTGGAGCCGGCAGTTGGAAGTCTGTTCTTTTGGAGATTAGCCGGTGTGAAGCATGCCTAAAAGTGCATCCAAAGCCCTCTAAATTTTTCCCAGCTCCGTACTTTGGAGGTTATTTAGTGCACAGCAACAAAATGTGGCCATCAGACCGGTAAGCCGAATTTACATAATTCAAGCATCTATTTCTACCATTACAGATTCATCTAATCATGGAGCCGTAATTGAAATTTTTTATCTGCCTATGAAGTTTTTCGTTCCTTCAAAAGCCGGCTGGTAGGAGAAAGTATTTCGTCTCAAACTTACTTGAAGTTAACTTTTTCGACAGTTCTCCTCCACGCGACTATAACTGACCCGGTCATGTTTTTCTCCAAGGCAACGTCCTAGGCGAAGTCACTGACCCCGAGGCGGGCCCGGTGCGGACTGGTCAGCGATTGGCTATTGGTCATCCAGAA